TGGTGACTGTAATGGTCCAGTCAGGTTATGGTGTGTAAGATGTCAGTTAGAGTGGTGACTGTAATGGTCCAGTCAGGTTATGGTGTGTAAGGTGTCAGTTAGAGTGGTAGGACATGTATATGATGTGAAGTGGTTGGTATGGTGACTGTAATGGTCCAGTCAGGTTATGGTGTGTAAGATGTCAGTTAGATGTTGGACTGTCATAAGAGTGATTTTCCTTCGCCTGTGAAAGAATAGTCAACATAATGCACAGAAGTAGTCACAAAGTTTGTTGTGTTTTTTGTTTGTTTTAGTTTTACTTTTAGTCACTTATTATACAACATCATTTGACGGGCCAAATAAAATCACTTAAACTGAGTTCTGGTGCTGTAAATATTCATATTTTGCTTGAATGATTTTCTTTGCTAATAGTTTTATACAGCGATAACACTCTTGAATGATAAACATGAATAATGATGATGATCATTTAAGGATATGATGATCATTAATGGATACTTATGGAACATAAATTATTTTTCAGGGGACAGACCTGCAGAGAAAGATCTCTCATCAAGAGCACTAGGTAAAGGTCAAATCTTGTGTTTTTAACAATTGTTCATTCTTATTAATTCAACCTCAAATGCAACTATAATTGATTGATTGCACAATATTTTTTAAAATATAAATATTACAAAAATATATACTAAACATTTGAGAATAAATGGAGATGCTGGATGCTTTAATCCATTAAATTTCCAGGAGAGAAGGGTAGAAATTTCAAGATCATTTGCAATTGAGGGGTACATGTTTTGTAATTGCAAATTATGGGGGTATAGTTTTAGGTTTTTTGTGCAGAACAAGTGACATTTAATTTCAGCTACTGAGCATAATATTTTCTAAATTATGATAAAGAAAAGGGTACATCTTTTATTGAAAGACATCTTAGGGGGTACAAATTTTACTTAATTTTTATAAGACAATTCCTTCTTACTTTTTCTTCCTGTCTTTTGGGTGTTGAATTGTTGTATTTTGATTTTCAGAATATACAGAAAAACTGAAGTCATCCATTATACAACAAACCGATTTCCTGTTGTCAGAGGACGAAGACAAGAAAATTAGAACCGATGACATCTTTACGAGTGTGACTATCCAACGCGGTCCAAAACACTTCGAGGAACCCAAAGAAAGGAGATTTGGCAGGAGGCAATTGGATGAAATTCAAGCAAGTAGTAC